TTTGCAATTATAAAGATTGTTCTTGAATTATATCCATCTGTACAAAATTATTTCCTAGATATACAGCATAAATTTACAGAGCTAATTTCTTTATTATTTTTATTTTGTGTTACATGCTGAAACTTTATGCCAATCGATCATACTCACTTTACTGAATAAATATAGACAAGATATATTTATTTATATTTAAGATATATTTATTTATCTTTTTAGCGACGCCTGGAGCAGTTTAGTGTAATAGTTATTATTTATGAAACAAGAACTTGTCTTCAAACAATATTCAGTAATAGTTAATATTCAATAATAGTTAGTTATTTATTTTTAAAAACAATTCGTTCAGATATATATATATATGAAACATCACACACTATTTTAACCATATATATATATATATGGTTAAAATAGTGTGTGATGTTCCTTTTAATCAACCCACTGGAATACTGTAACTCGAAAAGAACCGTATCGTGCTGAATGAATGTTTTTATTCATTGAACTAAAATTGGGGCCACATGATGACGCGCTATTAGTGTACAATTTATCATAGATAGTGCTACAGTTGGCGAATGGAAGGTGAACTTCATTTTCTTAAATAGGAATTTCCGTTTTTTATTGCTTATTATGATTCTGCATAAAAAAAAACAAATTTTTATCTGAAAGATGCACTTACATCTTTTAACATTTGAACTTTTACGCAGCTACTGAAAGTGCAAATATGAAGTTCATTGAAAAAACGTTAATAAAAAGATTGGAAAATTATTATTACTTGGTGGAATTTTAATCAAAAATTACTTTTCTTCAAATAATGAACTGTTACAAAAATTTGTTCTACAGCGTGTTAGTCATCATGCTTATGATAAATAGATGACGTTGATCTTGTTTGATTATTAAAATCTGTCCTTAAGCTGTGCTTGAGATAATCTTAAATTTTTTCAATGCAGTTTTCATGTTAATTAAATTTTTAAGGGTGCTTAATTAACGTGCAGGGAGTTCCATTGTCTTTTGTAATTTTCTCCCTATTGCAAATGATGTTCAAAGACATTTTCATTCTCCTGACTGCGTAAATCTCTGTTGGAAATTCTCTTAGTTATTAGTAACTTGTTCCGTGGTACAAGCTGTTCGAATTCTCCTGATCATAACTTTTCTACTTGTTGGTTCCTGTTCGTAAATAGCATTTTTAAATATCATCACAAATAAAAATCTGCAAAATTGCAGTCTGGCGATTGTGCGGACCATTGTGCTAGTCCGTATCGTCCAATCCACCGTCCATTAAAGTGTGTTAAAATTATCTACAAGTTGTGGCGGCCGCGCAAAAGTTTAAACGCTCAGAACAATTGATAGATAAAAGTTTGTTTTTTTATGTAGAACAATAATATGCAATAAAAAAATGGGGATTCCCATTTAAGAAAATGAAGTTGATCCTATTTTTACCGATTGTAGCACCATCTGTGATGAAACCGATAGCGCAGTCTTGTGGCCCCTTTGAAGACTAACGTGTTTGGTTTAATGAGTACTTTTGCATGATGACCATTTTTCAAGTTGTTCCAGTGTATTGATTAAAATAAACCATTTTGTGTAACAATCGATTTTATGATGGCAGATATTAATACAATACTTTATATGTGTATTTATTGATCCCATGAGAAATTCTGAGGTTAAACGTTTGCTCGGAGTCGATCCCGGGATATCCGCATTAGGCAATATTGAGCATATGTTTGTCAAATAAAGTAATCGTATTTATTATATAGATATTTTTTTTATTAATGTATTAAAATTTCTTTAATTTTCGGAATATTTGATACAAACTGCAGAAAATTGTCCTCCAAAGTTTTTTGGCCAATGATATTGAGTTTTTCTTTATTTTTTATTTCCAAATATTCTAGATGTCTAAGACAAATGTGAAAGTATTTCAGTCATTTTTACGTTTTACTTTCTCGTTGTTACGTATACATAACAAGGGAAAATATTGGAATCGTGTCAAATTCGACCTTTCGGGTTTTTTTGTAAATTTCCATGTTTTGAGACCACCTGAACACAAAATAGTAAAAAAAAAGGCAAAAAATATTTCGCGTGTGTGTTGGCGTCTATTTCGGTTAATATCTCAAGATGTAGTAATGACTAAGAAACGAAATTTGACGTGGTAGCTTGTATATTAAGGGCATTTATGCTATTAAATTTTAGTGGTTAAGTTTAATTAAAATTGAAGGGATAGGGAGTTAGAAGGACCATGTATTATATCTCGAGAGTAGTCGGACTTAAAAACAATTTTACTCGTTATTAGCATTTACAATATTTTTATAAAACTCATACCTGCCCTCAAAATTAAGCTTTTTGCTATTTTATAATAATAATATAGAAAGTTATTTATAACAAAATCTCAGATGACACCACACACTATTTATTTATTTATTTATAGCTTTATATTATTAATTTTTATATTATTAACCCTATTAATAATATAAAAGTTATTTTTAAATAAAATCTCTTAACAACCGGGAAAGTTACGCAACTCGTTGCTGGATTTTTTTGTAATGATAAAAAGTAGATTGACAAACTGATCCGGTTTAATCAGGGCAGCTCTGGAATACTTGTCCACTTTCCCATATCTCGAGTAATGTTAGGGTACCGAAAATTGTGATTTACACGAATAAAATTTTAAACATTATGAAAATAAATGATGTCATTTGAAAATAAATTATTTGTAGATACTGTTATAATGATATGAATAAACATCTAGTTAGAATCGTTAGAGTTGGATAATCTAAAAAATAGGATTTAACAGTTTGGTGGGCTTATCACACCAAGACTGACAGAAAGAAGGACCAGAACTTTTACAATAAACTTAGTCTTTAATAATCACATTTCAAATTTAGGTAAGGATGCATTTCGGGTACAAGGACCCTTTGTCAGCTTACAAACGCATCGCAACAACATAACAATTATAGCACCACTAGTTAACCAATACAAAGGAATATCTAATATATACAGCGCACTGTATTCATAATTTTTAATGTAACCCATATACTAAAAAAAAAAACTAAAAAATAGAAAACTGTCGAGAATAATATTTTAATACAATGACAACGTGATATGTCCAGTAAATATGACCAGTAAATGTCTTATTTTCTCCAACATTTTCTAAATTCTGGTAGGCGGTTCCTCTATTTAATAGTGGAGAAATTATAGAAATATTTTTTACCTACTTTGGCTTTATGCCAAGTAGGTCAAAAATATAGACAATCTTTTTGTTCTGTAACATATGAGGAAGTCAGAAGAAAAAGAAAAATAACTTTTATTTAATATTTATTGAAATGAAGAAGGATTATGATAAAGTCGGGCGACTTAAACTACTGGGTATTATAAAAGAAAACGATTCCTCGTGTTATATCAAAATTAGCCAGGACATTTATACTAAACTGTGACAAAAGTAAGACGTGTTTGTGATGAGACCTGTTATAGATCGTATAAATTGGAGATCAGCAACGAAACATTAAATCTATATGTATTTTTATGATTTTGGATAATGTAGTCGTTAAAGTATAAGAGGAGGTTCCGTGGTGAGTGATGTTTGCAGTAATATATCGACTTACAGCTGAAGAAGAAGTGAATGATAAATAGAATGTTTGCGTTATAGTATTTTCTTATTTCTTAACACTCGCATGCAATATGGCAAGAATTCGGTACCAGTCCCTAACAGTTTGGGAAAAACATTGCTAATCTGTTACATCACTAGTTTCAGAAGTAATGGTCTAACTGAAAAGTACAAGCAAAATCATGGACTCAGAAAGTTTGCATTTAGTGAATGAAAGTCGTAATCCCAATATAAACATTTGTAAGCAATTGAAAATTAAGAAATTCGAAAGGTTGGCTGGTTGATGGGATAATGCGACGCAACCCAAAGGCGATGCCTATTCGTAACAACTTCCTTTTACTTGAAACACATTTCGGAATCGGAATTCCTGGTACATATATAACACGATGATCTTGCTCACAACCGAATCTTTAACCAAAGGCTCTATATTTACCTTTTGAATAACAATTTTAAATCGGCAATAACACACAAGTAAATGAGAAATTATTTATTGTGACATCATCACAATGCCCGGCTGTAATTTCTAATCATATTTTTAATTTAAAATATATGCTCTCCATTTCAAATTAATACTGTAATATCGTGTTCCTTACTGTACTGTACGTCATACTTTTCTGTTAGCAATGGAGTCGTGCCGGTCATTTAACTCTTTTGAGGAGAAAAGTTTTAAATTGAAATAACGTGACTTACAGTTTGCATAGGAAGTTCATATATGATTAATCGGGGCCTTCTGCCCCTAAGCTTTCCATATCTAATCTTGAATTTAATTTATCTAACACCGTTGAGATTGAGGAAAGACAGACAGACAACGGACGACAGTGGGAATAAAATAAACCAGACTTGTAGGTAGTCGGGACCGAGAACCGGGTCAAAAGAAAATAAGAAATGCTGAAACTGTTTCTACAAACAGGCGCGAGTGAGAGATTTGCGCATGCGTTGCTCGCACTCCCCGAGACAGTCTCGTCCCAAAAATGGCTTCGCTGTTTTACTCGAAGTTATTTCCAAACAAGTATACTGTATATCACTCTTTAAATTATATCATTAGCGATATATATATATATAGTGTTCTAGCATTGAATACTAACAATTAAATTATTTTAAAGCCTTTTTTTCAATATAGAAATAATACAAGAGATATCTAAATGCTTGTTTATGAATGTAGTTGTTCAATTTTTATCAAATAGGAATCCGTGAAATTAATTAATAATATGATAAAACCCAAATTTTTATAAAACCTATTAAAAATTGATACTGAATTGTATTTCAAAAAGTAAATTTTTACGAAAAAACAAATCGTTTTAACGAAAAAGGTTATATAAAATGTTTTGTTCATTAACTTAAAAAAAATTTAGTAAATTAAATTATAGTCTAATTATTTTTCGTCGAATATAATTCAGAGATTAATACATATCACTATTATACAGTATATCAATACTGCTTAATTTCAGTTCTTTCGTGGAAATTTTTCGGAACTGTTAAATTCGTCATGTTCGTAGACAGAGAAGTACTATAATGACTTTTGAAATTATTTGGTAGATGAAGATCTTTAAAATTTTATTAAACGTCTTTAAAGGAATATGTGATATAACTCGACATAGATATCATTGCGTTTTTAAAGAAAATCGATAAAATAACTTTCTCCCTCTATACTAAATACGAATGACTGAGTTCATAATAAGAGTTCTAAGCATTTATATATCAGTTAAGAAAGGAAATTACCGTATTTTATTTCTTTAAAGTCATATTTTAGAATCAGAATTCAGTGATAAGGTACAAAATTCATATAGGCTATGACTTTTCTATTTCTAAGGGTGATATTTTATTTGAACTCTGATAAGTTGAGGATTATTTTCTATGATATGTGTTAATTTCCTTCTATATATTTGGTGGAAACCATAAATTTGAATTGTTTAATGGTATTTAAACAATTCAAATGTATTGCTTCTATTCCACAGTCATGATTTGTGGACACACGATCTCGGGAACTTGTGATCGAATCTGGCAAGCAGAGGTTTTGAATCTGGGATGCAGGAATCTGAGTTCCCCAGGAATGTTTCGCGGATGGTCTGCCCAGGATATGTCTGATGCCATTTCTCATCACTCGGCCGCCCCCATTGTAGGTCTAGCCGAACTCCAGATGAGTATGGAAAAAGGCCCTCATAGTGCTGACAGGATGGAAAAAATTAAAAATGAAAAAAAAAGAAAAATGATTTGTTCGATCTCACTATCAGTCAATTCATTTTCTTTTATGACATAAGCAAAATAAAATAAAATTCAACTTATTGCCACAATAGAAGAGAAATGATAATGATGCTGAAGATAAATGCTTAAATAAATTCTTTTCGATATTTCAGAGAAATCTGATGAGAATATTGTGCATTTTATAAGGTTCAGTTTTGATGAATAACTAATTGGTATTGAAATGAATCAATACATTTCGAAGTTTTAAATTCGACAGTGATTGGCTGGTATTCACCGTGAAATATCTTAAGCTTCTTTTGACTTAACACAGGTATATTTGAGACTATATTATTTGCCCCAAAAACAAAGTTTAAAATAAAATAAAAAATAAAAATGGCTTTTACAATTTTTCTCTAGCAGCAGACTATTTTCATTAGAATAAGAAATTAACATGAATGAACTGTTTCTTAATCTATCTAGCTCTTTCTCAGCAATATCAGTTAATTAAAACAAGAATGCACCTGAATTCTATTTGCCGCGTTTATTCTCTTTCTTCCGAACGTTTTCAGCCTATTTGGATAGGCCGTCTTCAGGTTTTCCTTTATCGTTCCAAAATGGAACCATTCGTTCGATTTTTTATTTATTTGAATTTTTGAATATGTTAACAACTTTTTGTATATTACATAAATAAACAAATAAATTAATTAAATTAAATTAAATATATCACTAAACGTGCTACATATTAGCAAAAATTAAATAACAAATTTACACGCATCTAAATATACAACAATATAAAAATTCCTATAACTTTCAGTTCTTACTTTACGGATTATTAAAACCCATACATTTTTCAATTTTGTATTTCCATGCTGTTGATAATGCATTTGCATCTTTTGCATTTAGACATCGATTCCTCATTTTACGTTTATCTCTATTTTTTCTATTTCCGTTGCTATGGACGGTGAGTGCATCGTTCTAATGATCTTCGCTTCATCCCATTTGACTGTTGTTCCGTCTGCCTGTGCCATGCTTGCACAGGCAGACGGAACAACACAAAATCGTGTTATCAAGTCCTTTATTAACACTGTATTTGTGTCTCTAAAGGCTGAAAACGTTCAGAAGAAAGAAAATAAACTCGGCAAATAGAATTCAGGCGTGTTCTTGTTTTAATTGTTTCTGAATCATTATTTATTGAATATTTGTAGAAATTATTCAATGTACGAAATACTTTTGGCCCACCAGTGGTCAAGTGATCTTTGTACCCTGAACACTGGGAGTTCAATCGTGGGTTCGCTGGCCACGTGGAGTTTTTCGGGTTTTCTCCACGTCTGTAACGACTAAATAGGGGCCAGTTTCCCTTAAAAATATCTCCCGGAAGGCATTCCCCCTAGGCAGATCACCCAAGTGTTGCGTTGCCATAACTTAACAAACAAACGAAATACTTTAATGGTCATTTTAATATAATTAATGTAAACCAATAATAAAATTTTGTTTTGTTTTATGCTATATGAACTAAAATATTAGGCCCGTAAATTTACACCATAAAAACGAATAAATTATATTTTTCTATTTGTAATTTCTGTTTAGCTTAGCTGTTTTGTAGCTTAAATTGTTACTCCATATTACTGCAAAACTTAAAATGTAATAATATGTAAATTACAAGACGAATTTTTAATTAAATCGAGTTTGTTACTTCTGAAAACTCCATTTTATACTAAAAAAGCCATTTTAAAATATTGATGACTTAGAATTTGTATATTATACTAGCAGACATGTTCAGCAAAAACTAAGAACAACAAACATTAAAATGAAAACCATATTAAGAGTTTGGTAATTTTAGCCTATTGATGCCATGTTTATTGCGATTCTCAGAGGATACGGAATGGCGCAATTTTGTTGGTCAAGTAGTCATGAATTGATATTTTTCAATAGAAAATAGTCGTTGACTTCCGCCTGTACAAAAAGATAATTAGACATCTAAATATTTTCTAATGTTAACTCTAACGTACCATTCACAACAAAATGTTAATCGGCCAAACAATCAAATTTCTCAAAAAATGGATCAAATATTTAAACTCGGAAACCTTGAAAACATATTGTGCTCACTGGTAACTTTGTATTAATTTTCCTATTCGAATGACACCATTCAGCTGGACAGATGAAATGGGGCCTGTTCAGAGGAGTTGAAGTCAATTTGGACCAAAAGTAGTTGTTGACCTCCTCATAGATGAGAGAATGGTCCTTGAAAAGTTTCATTGCATTTACTCAAACTGTTTCAAAATGTATAAAGAACAAACTAATAATCTTTCTTTTTTATATATATTAAATATTAATACAGATGAGATTGAATGGATTACTTTCTTGAAATATTGTTCATATTTAAGAAAATTAATGCAAGATGACTAATAACGTCTTATATATCAATAAATCCATAGTAATAGAAACAGCAACACAAAATTCGACCAAGTTACTGTAAATGAAAAATGGCAATCCTTATGTCTGTTTTCAAAATTGTTAACATGTGATAAAATGTTTATTACATGTTAACAGATGAGAAGTGTTTAAATATTTTAAGCAGTTTTTTATCACATGTTTACAAAAACCAGACAGCACCACTTTGCACGTGCATTCTCCTGTAATTGAGATGTATAAAAATGACAATATCTGAGATTGCAACACTAAAGCAACAACATGAAATTCAGTGTTGTTGTTAGAGTTTAATCCACAAAATACAATGTGTCCAGCATCCGAAACGGCTTCGCCTTCTACAGGACAACATTTCCTGTCGCCGATATAGTCTAGAATTTGACATAAATTCAATTATTTGTTCTCCATTTGATCCTCGCAGTAGTCGTCATCTATGGAAACTGAATCGGCTCAGGCACTGAATAAACACATGGTCGGTTCCTTACCTGTTTCGGCAGCCATCTTGGCTGAAAAACAGTGCCCTCTGTCGGATTTGGGGCTTGCCAATACTTGAAAGCATAAAGCTTTACCTGAATCCACAACGGAATCATAGAACTGACAGCCAAACTGACAAAAGTTTCAGTTTTGGAATATTCAGTTGGACAGAAACAAGGCTGAACGCAGAGTTAAAAATTATTTAACTTATCCATTTTCCTTCCGCTTTTCCATCATACTGTAGTAGATTGTCGTAACAGCGGAAAATACAGTGAAGAGAATGAGAATATATTTAGAACTGTGTATCAAAGAAGTTAGAAAATATAGATGTCTATATGACAAAAACAAAAAAAAATGTAAAGAATTTAAGGATACATCATTAAAATACATCATTAAATCTTGGTGAAAAATTTGGAATTGCAGCAGGAAAGTTTGATATACTGCACTGAAATCCTAAAAGTGGAATTGTTTAGTTATAAAATGTTTTAAATGGAAACAACAAATGAAGCAGTGCAGAAATGGAAAGTGCAGAGGAATTACTGAACTGATTGACAGGTGGGGCATTTCCAAGTAACATTTGGCACTAGTGGAGTCAAGTTAAAACATAAACATAACCGAAATGAAAACTCTGTTTCAATTCTGTTCCTGAGTTTCTGTTTTCCTTGACACTACAACTTTTGAAAATTATATTTTATTATAAATACAGAGTGATTATAATTAAAGTTCTGATTTTACAAAGGTCTGAAATAAAACACTGGTTAGTTTTGTATGAATATCTGTGAAGTAATGGAATTTTATTTGAAGATAAAAATTTAGTTCAAAAATTTGCTGTTAGGGGTACAATTTATGCTTTATTTTGGTAGAAAGCCATAAAATTACTTGTAAATGTTTTTTTTTAACTTTGTAATTAAAAAACATTTACAAGTGATTTAACAAATGCTCCTTTGCATTCCAATGCTAGCTGAAATTGCAAAATAACATGTTTGACATCTGAGTGTTTTAGTAGAGATGTTGTGGATATGATTCTTGATGCTGGCTTTCAGTTCTGCTAAATTGTAATCTGTCCATTAAACAACATTCTTTAGATATCCCCAAAGCAAAAAATCACATGGGTATATGTCTGGTGAATGGTCTGGTCTTGTTGTAGGAAATGGCAGCTGATTATTTTGTCATTTTCAAAATGCCTGCAAAGTAGCCACTTCACTCGTGTTTGTAATGTATGCATGTCACATATAAACAAGGTCTATAAACATAAGGTCAATCCACCAATGTTCCCTATGGAGCTGCCATTTTTGATCAGCAGTTCCAAGGTCATTATATAGATTTCTCGCTATCTATGTGCTATAAACTGCACGTTCCTTTGAGTTTGGGTCACAGAATTCCTTTTATATTTAAAATAGAATATTTTTTCATTTAGAAGTTACTCTGGCACATAATTAAAGGCTTTAACAAAGTAGGTTTCAAAATAAAAAGTTATGTCAATGGTTTGTATGATAAAGTACATCGATAAATTTATTTAGTTTCGAAATGCAAAATTAGAGAAGAAATTTGGAGATATTTCTTAAAATAAAAATATATTTAGTTTTTTATATTCACACACACTTTTACATTATTACATAAACTGCAAACAGGAGTGTAGATTAAACATTTTTATAAATTAAAATTAGACAAAGAGAAAAAACCATTCTCACAAACTTTACATGTTATGTATGTAAAGTAAACCTTCAAAAATATTTGCAACAGATAACTTTCTTCATTTAGGAATTTTCTTATGCATATAAACTAAATTTATTTATTTTTATAGAGAATTAAATAAGTATATTTATAAAAATTTATTAAACAGTAGACAAAAAAATAGAAATATCAACTTCAACTTTATTTATTGTTTATTTTATAATAAAACTAGCTGTTATCCGCAACTTCACCCTCTGGGGTTTTGCAAGCAAACCCCATTTATATTCAGTATTTCAACAACCATAGTAATTATTATATAACACCTACCGCTGAGAATGATGAGAATTTCTGAGAATCAAACAAACTATTTCAATTTGATCAATTTTCTGGAACATTTACAATCATTCTATAATTGAACCAATATGCAATAACAAATTCGAATTTAAAACGGTTCAAACATTTGGTTAAAAAATTAAAATATATAAAAATATTTATAACAATGTCTGAAATGTTATTAATTTAATACACCTAAGAACTCAATGAAGACTAAACGTAGTTAAAAACAAAAAATTTCATCTAAAATAGTATGGTAGAAGCCATACTTCAGGTTGATCCCCTCGAATTTTCATTTATTCGGACCTTTAAAGAAATTTTTGGCAGGGAAATGTTGATAGCTTAATAATAATTAATAATTTAGACCAATGGTTCCCAATTAGTGGTACACGTACCCCCAGGGGTACGCAAAATTGCATGAAGGGGTACACGTGGCAATCTAAAATTGGTCAATTTAAAATTTAAATGCATGAGATGAAGCAATCAAAAAAATAATGGGTGGACCATCAAAAATTTGGCAATTTACAACATGATGTGGAATGCACAAATTTGTTTATTTATAACTAAAAATATTCTCAAAATTTCATCAAAAAAATGCATTTGTGACAATACCTAAATGAAATTCTTGCACAAGAAACAAAAATTGTACAATTAACACAATTTGTGTTAATTGTACAATTTTTGTTTCTTGTGCAATAACAATTTCAAATTTAAAATGGTTCGAACATTGTATTTGAACCGTTAATTGGTTCGAATACAATGTTCGAACTGTTAATTGTACAATTATCATTATTATCATGTCAGCAAATAGGCAATAAAATATTTACTACTATTTTGCACAACATATCTCTGCGTGAGTGGATTTTCGGCCATGACAAACATGACAACTAAACATCATCACTGACTTCAACTCGAAGATGACTCGAGACTGAAGCTGACTGACCAAAAAGCAACCAGATTTTACAAAGTTGTGCAAAGAAAATCGTGCACATTTGTCACATTAAAATTAAATAACCGTATGTTATTTTCATTATTATTAGAATTGTATTTTAAAGGTAATAAATGTAAAAAAACTTATTCTATTTATCACTAGCTGTCTACCCACAGCTTCACTTGCATTATATCGAATTTTCTCGTGAGAGTAAGATATTTTCTCGCAGTAAAATGCTATGTCCATCTCCAACATATAAGCTATCTCTGTGCCAAATTTTATTAAAACCTGTTCAGTGGTTTAGACGTGAAAAGGTAACAGATAGACAGCCAGACAGAATTACCTTCAAATTTATTATATTAGTATGGATTAATATGAATTTCTGCTATAAGGGGTATGCGAGTTTGAGCTCTTTCTTGAAGTAGTACGCAGGAAAAACTAATTGGGAACCACTGATTTAGACAATTTAAGATTAGATTGTAAGAAATGAAGATGCAGAAGATTAATAAAAAAAATCCTTCATCCAGCAACCAATCAAAAAGAGTTGATTATGATGAGTTACAAATACCAAAAATTTATTATTTAGTAACATTGTTGTAATATTTCATTACTGTTAGAAAATAAGCATTTTAAAATTATTTATTTGAAATTGTTTGTCATAAACTCAAATATTCATTTATAATTATAGTATATTGTGTAGCCATTTGTTAAATAATTACTAGTTAATTAATACTTTTTGAACTATTTTTGATATTTTTCAGTATAATAATTGAATATTTAAATTAAAATTTACATAATCACTTAAATTTAAATTAGTACTCAAACTTTTAAATTTACATCTAAAATACCATTTTTAAATTTTTAAAATTTCTACATATTATTTTATTAAATAGAAAAGATAAAGAAGAAATATGGTGATATGAATGGAGAACTTATTGTTGTAGAACTTCAAAAGGGTCCTAATGGACTTGGATTAAGTTTGGCTGGAAATAAAGATAGGACAAAAATGAGTGTTTTTGTATGTGGAGTACATCCTTCTGGAAATGCAGCAAAAGATGGAAGAATTAAAATTGGAGATGAACTATTAGAGGTAATGCTATGTTATCATTCTAATGACATAAAAAATATCAGTATTATTCATCACATAAAAACCTTCTGAAACTCCAGTAATGTGTTTACAAAACAGCGAACGTTTTCGACCCTATCAGGGTCTTCCTCAGGCTACAGTTATGAGGAATTCAAATAAGTGCGAAATGGAACAAGCAACCAAATGAATGCGATTCAAACTTAGATTTAGAACAGCAATGTTATTATTAAAAAATAGAACATTACATTCGTGTAGAAATGACGATTAAGCAAGTGTAAAATTAAGCCTGTGAAACGTCGAATGCTGGTGAAATACTTATAAATTAAAGCTAGTTATGGGGGGTGTTCCCTCATAACAAAATTTACATACATGAGAGATGCTGACCGCGTCCTTAGAGTTAATGCACATATTATGTAATCCCACTTTATATCCCATTTAAAAAAGGTTCATTAAGTTTATAAAAAAATTTGTAAAAGTTTTCAAAATAAAAACACTTCTGAATAATTTTGAAACAGTCTATTTATTTACAATCATCAGTCTTACATTTTTTAATTGTTAAATTTTGGTAATAAAAATTGAATATGAAGTAAGTTATTTATTACAATTTGAAATTGGCCTGAACCAGTGGTAATACAAATGTACTATACCTTTCACATGTAGAAGTTATATCAATTATCAATAATGCATAATTTTATTTCATTATATAATATTCAGTGACTCAATTTTCCATGTTTTTTAAAATTTTATATTATAAACATTTGGGTTGCAGATGATTACAAACAAATATATTGGGTTGCATGAGCAAAAGTTTGAGAAACACTGGTTCAATCTTTAACAACTCTAAAGAAAATGTTATAAGAAATGCCATGAACTGATTCCATCCTTGCAAAGAGATAAGAAGCATTCTGTAGAGGATGTGGTTGCTGTATCATCAAATGCAGTGTGTAGCATCTTTGTAATCCAAAAAGATAATTGGTAGACGAATGAACAGCAATTTGAATTTGAAAATTGCTGTTCGTTCGTCTACCAATTATCTTTTTGGATTACAAAGGCGCTACACACTGCAAGAAGCATTCTGTTTGGCTAGTGTAAATAGCAAGTACATTTCAAGCCTCATGTCCTAGCACTCACAACAGAAAGACCCTATTATGGGTAACCAGCTCATTGAGGTGAAGACAACACTTTCAAACAAGTGTTTAAGTAATCCATCAAGAGTCAAGTATATTTAAGACAGCTTGACTGTCAGAAAAATGTAGATAGTCTTATTAAAAAGACTTCTATATAAAATAATGCAAGCATATCAAATAATAGCTAGCTCCTCTGCTTGAAACACAATGGAAAACTTACCCAATGAGACAAAAACAACCCTTACCTGATCATACTGTACAAATGCTGCTATCAGTTTTGGATCTATCTGTAAACAGACTATATCCTGTGAACTCTACTCATATATCAGTGAAGGTGAGTGTGAAAGGAAACCATATAATGCCTGTTAAACATAATCTGAGGTAACCCTCAGATTATGTCCAACAGGCATTCTCTTGACTCTCAGTAGAGTAATATGTCCAACAGTACTTGGTCTAGAAATAAGTTGACCAGTACACTTGAACTTAAAAAGAGCCCGCCTCACCTCAGTCTGAATGAATAGGTGCAGAAAAGATTTAACAGAAACTCAAGAACTCTCTGGGTGCCTAGTCTCAAGTTATGTCAGTTGAAACATGAACATGTTGAGAATACCATATAGTGAATGGTCTTACTGAACAAGTTGATACCATCTGATATTCTCAACATAATTATGCTACTACTCATATAACTTGGGACTAGGCACCATGGAGTCAAAGTATAGTAATAGTGAGCCATACAGTATGCTGAAAATTTTGCAGTTTAGTCTGACAATCTTTACAAAGCACCCTAGGGCACCAAACTAAGGCAAAATAAACTATTTTAGATCAAACCATCATAGTAAAAATTCAAGAGGAAATTATAGTTGTAGATTCCAAATATCCTCTACATAACTAGATGATATGTTTGGCCTTGTCTGTCAGGGTTGGCAAATTTATGTTTTTTTTGAAATAAAACAATAATACACGTTTTATTTAGAAACCTTTATTTTTTTGTTTTAAAACAGTTTTATATTATATTATAAAATACTGTTTTAAAACAATGTTTTAAATTTTTAAAAAAATGTTTTATTACATAAATTTAGTAAATAAACTTTTTCTGACTTGTGAGCTAAACGTGAATGTGGGAATGGGAAATTTTTCTCACTGTCATGGGTCATAAAAGCACGTGACATGCCGACTTTTATCACTAAGAGGAGATTTCCTGACAGCACATGCCAGTTAATACTGTTAGCAATACAGCTAATGTATTGTAATATTACTTGGATGGAAAAAGACATCATTATTATTGTTGTTACTTGTTAAGTAAAAAATGAGTGCAGGAAGAAGACTTGATAATATCTGGAACCAGTACAAACTAATTTCTGGAAATCCAGGAAAACCAGCATGCAGAGTGCAATGCAAAATATGTAGGAAAGAAATGGCTGGATTAGTCACTCATATGAAAAAACATATTGAAGATAACCACCTACAGGATGATATACAGGAATTGCAACAGCTGGGTGAGTATTTTGAACCATTAGCCTATAAGTTTTAATTATTTTTTTATAGCTAACTATAAAGTTTTACCTGGGTCATAACTCAATTTGTACCTATATAGATATTCTTAAATTCTTTGCCTGAGTTACATAGTTCTGCCCTCTCAGGCAGTTTACATAGTGTTACAAAAAAACAGTCCTTTTCCAAAAATGTATGATCTAGTACATATACATTGTTATCTATGACCTATGAAAATTTTATTAATTACTTTTGCTGCAAAAGTTTTTTATAACGTTTTTTACCATATTAATTGCCTCATTGTTTTTTATGAGAGTTTTTTAATCAAATTAATGAAATCGTTCTAAACTTTTATAGGACTGTTTTGACTTCATTAAAATTTTTTAAAATACTATTGGATGATTTTTATGACATCAGCAGGTTGTTTTTGTTTTTTATTCAATAGACTTTTTATATATACCTTTTTTCAGTTTCTTCCCAATTTTAATAGCATAAATATCAAAAATTTTGTGTTATACTGTCAACTGGTTTGTAAACAATGTAGACTGCACATGTGAATTTTCACGTCTCAAATGAAAGAATAACAATCCCTGCAGCTATATTTATCAAATAAAAGCATTTTTTGGTTATTTTAGATTTTTCATATAGTTTTTCTATAAAAACACGTTTTTTTGGGTGTATTTATTCCCCGGCAATTATTTCAGCTGTCAGATTCGCTTTAACGTGGAAATAATTATTTAATATTTAAAAATCAATGGATTAAAAATTTTCTGAGCGGAAATTAATTAGGCCTCGGAAACTAAAGTCAGTAGTATACAATTACATATTGTAATCATTGTGAACTAAACATACAGAAGTGCATAAATTATTAGACTCATGCATAAAGTGTATTATTTTTGGTTCTTATCCTAAAATGTATCATTTTATATTATACTGGTCTGACTTGAGTCTAATAATTTTCACACGTCTGTATATAGTAGTAATTTTAAAAACATACACCTAATTAGTAATTAATTTGTTTCTATATTTATTATTTAGATTGGCAGGAGTCAGAAAGTCAGGAGCCTGAGTCTGAAACTAGTGGGAAGTGCTCCACCATCACTTCTGGCTCTACTAGTGGCACTGGCACTGCATCCCAAAGCAAAGTAAAATTGCAATGCATTAATTCATTTATTGTGAAAACCAGCGGCAGGGCAAGACCTAAATTTGATGTGGGCAAGGTATATTTCGCAAGGCCCTCTGGTAGCGCAAGAAGACTGATTTTATAAAATAAAAAGCAGTTGAAACTGTCAAATTTTTATTCCTAAAAATGCAAACTATATTCTTTAACTAACATTAAAAAAAATTAAAGAAACAGAAATTTCCTGCTTTTAGCCTTACTGAACTCCTTAATAATTGTATCGTCATTCAGCTTATATGCTATTTATGCTTCAATAGATAAAATTGCGAAAGCTGAAAGTCTTTCCTGACCCATTGTATTTCTTAAATAATTTTTTATTAGCTCCTTTCAGCGTAGGCAGTACTTACTGGTATTGTTAACAAAATTCAAATGGCAATGTAAATATTTGGGTAAATTTCTTTCAAGTTATTTTCTGTTATGTATTGGAGCAGCTGTTTCACATCTTTAATGAAGTTGGGTAAATTTGGGATCATTGTTTGTAATTCTTCATATAATTCATAAGGTTATAAGTCACTGCTCTCACTCACTCGCAGGACTAAGTATAAATCTTGACAGTTTTTTAATATTTGCTCTTTTGGAATATTTTTTAACTTGCTTAGATCATAGAGAAAACCAAAATTTTCAAAATGTTGATTTAAAGACATAAATCCCAAATTCATATTGCTTATTACAGAATCAATCATGGTGTTAAAAAAATCTGTTTCATACCTGCTTTTGGGAGACTGTATAGGTTGATCGCTGCCTTCATCATCGAACATCCTTTTCTTTTTGGCTACCCTTTCGTTTTTAAAGTCTTTTGGCAGTTCATAACTGCTATTCTCAATAAATCGAAGAGCATCAGACAAGCATTTTTCGAATCCAGTTTGTCGATATTCTTTGATCCAGTCACAAAATGTACACAAATGTTCAAGAGTATTGCTTAAATGGACTTGTAAAGATTGCCATAATTTGCTTATGATATTAACATGCAAAAATATCTCATGCCATACATGTAATGATATGATAAATTCTAAACTGAGAATTTCGTTTAAAACTGAATCATAATCACTGAGTGTGTCTGATTGTTCCGTTTGATTTTTTAAGCTTTCGATGCATTCGACATCAAATTGCAATAATACGGCCTTCAATCCCTCGATTCTGCTTTCTCACCTCGTGTCTGATAAAGGCTTCAAAGTAAGCTTTAATTTGCCTTTGATTAATTCCCAGCATTTGCTGGAACTTGAAAATAGCAAATAAATTTTCTGAATAAAACCAAAATATGTTTTTGCTGCCACAGAAGAATTAGCTGTGTCTACCAACAACAGATTCTAGCTATGACAACTGCAAAGTGTAAAAAATGCCCTGGGATTAATATTTAATATTCGAGTTTTAACTCCACTATTTATGGGATACTTTACTGCGATACTTTGATTGGCTTTCTAGCCTTTGAGAATCATGAAAGTAACATAAACAAACACAATGGGAAATCCCTAGCTCTGGCTGGCAAGGATTCCCCGCGATAGCAACCCAACGCCAGCAAATGTTGCTAGACAAATAATAACAAATTTGGTATGTCAATATATTTATCGTTTTATGACGAGTAAAATTTTTTCATTGAGTTTACGGCTTTTATGTAATGCATAAACCTTCAAAGTGCGAGGCTCCTCAGACAGCGAGGCCGTAGGCAGTGGCCCACGTCGACCATGCCTTATGCCGCCTCTGGTGAAAACATCAACTAATTAAAAAAAAAAATGCAATTGGATCTCCAATGCACAAAATTTATATATGCCACCAATTCAGCCTTTACTCATGTAGAACACCCTGAATTTATAAAATTTTGTCAGATGTTGCGACCTGGATATGACCCTCCACAGAAAAAGGAAATTGGGGGACCCTTACTGGACACTGTATACAATTCCATTGAGAATGAATCAGCTGATGAGTTAAAGGATGTTACAGTCTGTATGGCTATTGATGGGTGGAGTAATGTCCATAATGAACAAGTGATTTGTGTCTGTGTGACTGATCCTAATGGAACAGTTCATTTGATTGACTCAGTTGATACAGGTGTAGAAAAGCACACATCAAACTACTTAGAAATTATTGCAACTGCAGCAATAAAAAAATGCAATCAAAAGTATGGCTGTAAAATAAGAAGCCTGGTAAGTGACAATGCAAGCAATATGAAAAAAATGAGAGAAACATTAGTAATGACAGAAAATTTAGATATTGTCACTTATGGAGGTTCTGCTCATATTTTAAACTTACTGGCTCAAGATATCAATATGAAAGAGGTTAATGAACAAGTTAAGCACATCATTGTATACTTCCGGAATCATCATTTCCCGAAAGCCAAATACAAAGAGACAGTGAAAAAGGATTAATATTACCACAGGATGTACTGTACTTTGGAACAGCTTAGCTGATTGCTTAGAGTCATACATTCAGGACTGGCCTATCCTAATGAAGGTACTATCATTACTTTAAGTTGTTTTTACTTTCTTATTTTGTACTGTGGGTAAAGTCACTAATTCATAAAGCATATACTAGTTGTGTTGAAGTGTGATTACTTATAGTAATATAGTAATAATATACTTAGAGTAATAATGATGAGATGAAATATATAATTATTTTGTTTTGTAAACTGACTGTTTACTCTAATGCTAGTTAATTCTATTTATGTACTCAATGAGTATTGAATAATGAGTATCGAGTGTTTAATCCTAAAAACAGTTACAAATCTTATGTTAACAGGTTTGCGATGAAAACAGGCTTGTAATTCACAAGGATATTGTAGTCAAAGTTCAAAACCTTGAAATTAAGCGTGGTGCTGAAGATTTGCTGACATGTTTAAAGATCATTGCTGTTGCATTAGACAAAATGCAAAGAAATGACTGCACAATCAGTGAAGGAATTGAATTATGGTTTGGGTAAGTTACATTAGACAGAATTGTTTTTTTGTAATCAATCTAATTTCAAAACTGTGTTCATTAAATTTATTAATTTTATACATTTAATGATATTATTACTTTTATAGTGTTCAAAGTGACTTGCAACAACTTGGGACCACTGGAGTCACACAACCAGCCAAAGATAGATTTGATATGGCTATCACAGACTATCACTTTTTAGCAAATCTTCTGGACCCAAGATACCAGGGTGCAAAGCTCACAGACAGTATGAAAGATGCTGCACTAACTCTGTGCCATGCTCACTACCCAGATGCTATGCCTTCAGTTTTAAAATACTTGGCAAAAACTAGCCCATTTCTGCAACACATGTTTGCAGAGTCTGTGCTAACTAATATCACTCCTCTTACATGGTGGCAGTCACTACGTGACAGAATTGATGAACCTGTTTTAAAATTAGTTACACAGCTGAACACAGCAGTGGCTTCTTCAGCGGGAATTGAGAGAATTTTCTCTACCTATAGACTTGTTCATACAAAACTTAAAAATCGACTTGAACAGGAAAAGGCAGCAAAGCTTGTTAGTTTTCAAGTACCTAAACAAACACTACTGAGCATTGTACATTTCTGAAAATAAGAAATTCTTCAAGGTGAAGAAGCCACTGCTGGCAATCCTGTTTTGGTTTTGTATATGCAAATCTTAAAAATGCCATTTCATAAAGAAACATTTAAAAATGCTGTATTTTATGTTAAATAAAACATTCTGTACATTCTTGAGTCTTACACTGAAGTTTTTCTGCTTTTTTTCCTATTATACTAGATCCCAGTGTTTTATTTCCAAAAAAAAACCATGTTTTAAATCCAATGCCTGTGTTTTAAAACATGTTTTAATAAATGTTTTAAAACATTTTTTTAAAATCATGCCAACCCTGTTGTCTATAATCATTTCAAGGTGACCATAACAGGTTAGAGCAGGCATGGCCAACATACGACTCGTCTAATGAATTTATGCAGCCTGCGATTAATCTTTCAATATTAGCTACTCAAGTCCAAATAGCTCAATGAAAAATTCTGACGCCTAAAAAAAAAGTCAACAACTCACTGTGCGTTTAGAGTTAACCTTCATTACAAATCTCTTAAGTACAGCATAGAATGTTGATAAAGCATGATAATGTGAAAAATGTATCTGTAATCTCTATGTACAATTTAGTCTCTACGGGGTGACACCACAATGAGATCTTGCACCACCTCAAAATTTTCCTAGGGCAGCCTCTGGTTTAGCCTGAGAAAAAAGTTTTCTTTCCAATTTAACCCGGGGGCAAAAACTGTTGGCCACCCCTAGGTTAGAGTCATGTAAAATCCAAAAGTACTTGACTGAAGAAGAAAGCTGCATCCTTTTACCACAGAGAAGAGGTTCAGAGAAACTTTTTAAAGCTCTCTTGTGAATAAAGAAAACAACAGTTTTGTCAGACTGATATTTAAGCTATTACACCTGTACCAGCTCTGTATACAAGTCAGGCCTCTTTGAAGAAGGTTTGTTTGCATAAACTTGGGCATACAACTCAGAATTATTAAGATGCCTCAGGGGACAATCCACAACAAGAGTGAAAGGATATCACTTTGAAGGTAACCTCACACTATGGATGCTCTCAAGGAGGTTCCAAAAAAGGAAATCATCACACTATAGTGACACAATTTAACATCTATCCAGCAAAAAAAAGCAGGACTGATGCCATGCTCAAGTGTAGCATATTTGATAGCTTCAAAAGAGGGATGGCTGGATCGCTAAGCAGTTAGGACGGCAACCTACCACTCAGGACATGGTATCAAATCCAGACAGGTTGAAAATACTCCAGGAATATTTTGGGATGTCCTTTTGAATATGTTGGGCTCTGTCCTCACCACCTGACCACTCCATTGTGAGCCTGAAAAAACTCATAATGGACTTGCTAAAAAGCCCTCTTACTGCTTACAGAGTGGAAAGGGTTAAGATATTTAGATGATCCTAGATTCAAAAAGGCATAGGACAAAAACTTGGTGTAGAGCAGTCAACAGTGTCATGAATTGTGAGCAATGTTGTGGAAAAAATAATAGCTCATAATCATTGGATAAAATTTTCTACAACTGATCATTCTGTCATTTATTTTGTCCATTCTTGAAATCATTCTTGCCATAGCTTTTTGCAAAAATAAATTGCCAAAAAGCTATGGCAAAATAAATACTGTTTTCCAGCTGCAATTGGTGCAAATGACTGTACCCACATAGAAATAGAAAAACCTAGACTTCATGATGATGAGTAAATTCATCGGAAAGGAAAACTTACATTAAACATACAAGTTACTTGTGATACCAGGTGCATGTTAATTGGATATCTACAGTAATTAATGAAAGCCAGCACATGTATGATTAATAGGAATTGAATACAGCTAATAAAATAAAACATAAGGATGAGATTAAATGTGTCATAACTTGCATGTTAAGAACCTTTTACTCATTTAGCAAAAGCATTTGCTTGGAAGTATAAGGTAATCAATATTCATTCTAAATAAATGAAATGCTTTTGCTTCTACCTTTTGCTCAAAGCATTTGCTTTTACTTCTACCTTATTGGGCTGCAATTTGAAAAAATTATAGACCTATAAATTCCCACTGTCAGCTGTCTGCCTGTCTTTCCTTAATCTCAAGAACTGAGTTCGATAGACGAAAGATGAGACCAGATATGGAAACCTTAGAGTCAGGATGTCCTGATTAACTATAAATGAACTTCCAATGCAAACCAGAAGTCATGTTATTTCAATTCAAAAATTTCCCCTGAAAGCAGTTAATAGATGACTGGCACAACTCTTTTGTTTAAAGGAAAAGTATGATATACAAGGGCAAGCCACTACTAATTTGAGGTGAAGAGCATATATTTTAAATTAAACAAATTAAAAATATGATAAAAACTTGCAGCCTGCATTGTGACAATGTCACAATAAATAATTGATAATAAATAAATAAGTCTGTTAGTATTTAAGTGTTTTTGGAAGATTTATTGTCACAAGGCATTGTCAGTAGCTGTCTTGTGCTTATTAGCATTTCCTTCATTTTTATTCATATGGGCCAATGTGTCAGTAATGTAACAGAGGGTAAATCAAAAACACACTAATCCTCCACTCTGCCTTCTAAATCAGAAGTTTGAATGAGATCCAGAATTCATATGTCTAGAAGAGTTAAATTATAAAGAGGATAGGCAAAAGAGACTAAATCTCCTTCTTAGCACCATTAACATCTACCATTATACATACAACTAGAACTCTTATTCAGAGATCTGAGTTAAGGGAATACTTGAACGTGTTTACCAATAAAAAATGCAAGTTTGTGGATCCTTATCAGATGAGTGGTAGTAAAGATTACCGCATAAGCTAGACAAGCCCTAACCTTACCTCTGAAAAGAATCTAAATACAGTAAAACCTGTCTATGGCAACCACCCACAGTTCCTTCAAAAAGTGATCTTTTAGACAGGTTGTCGTCCAATACAGGTGGTGCTGTAATACCGTATTTCTGTACGTATTTTGCACACTTTTCAGCCATTTCTACTAAGCAAAACTCGAGATGAGCAAAAATAAGCGAATTTTTTCAATGATAGGGCTATATTGGTATTGTATTTTATTCTTATCGGATAACCTGATTTACAGGAGTCGTCAAGATATTATAAGACAGATTTAACACCAATATTTTAAAGATTAATACAATAGTCGCATTTTCTCGATTATAATGCACACTTTCTTTTTTCTGACTTAATTAATTAGACTCAGTTCTTTTCGTTTGCTCCTCAGTTACGTGTATTACGTCATCAATATACAAGCGCGTCCTATCTCTCCATCACTTTGCTTTTGGTTTTTGTTAGTTTAATCTTATTTTAACTTTAAAAATACTGTATTTTTTAATATTTAATATTTTCTTAATTAAATACAATAAGAAAAATTATTAATTAATAATAAAACGATTTTATTATTTTTTCTCATTATACGATTTCATTACAATCGCGGAATCGAAAAAGGAAGTAAAACTGATTTTTGCATTAATGCGTTTATTGTTTTTTGAATATTTTGCCTGCGAAAATTACTTGGATATTATTTTTCTAAAAATATCGTGGAAATAAGGTAGGTTGATACAGAAACTATTTATCGCACGTGTACTGTATATGAGCTTCAAAATAAATAAATAAAAATAGATTTTATCAAACGATGAGATCAGCCGATTAATTGTATCGTGTACAATATTTTACACCCCCAAGGAAAATACTGTAGGTCTAGGGTAAAATAAATTTTGTTTTCCCACAGTTAAACTTTGCCGCTAATTGCTGTTGTGATAACTCTAGTACGATCTTCTAACGACAGCACTTTGCATTTTGGACATTTTCCAACAAAGTGAAATGAATTTCCTTTGTTGCTAGACTAATTTATTAACACCTGCACCTAATTTCAAGGGTGGGAGAAGTGCCCGGGATGGGTTCGAACGAGAGTTTAGACTAATTCATTATATTAGGAGGTGGAAACGTTGTTGAGATGGGTTCTTACAATAGTTTAGACCAGATACATTTGCGAAAGTGGTCGCTTATTACAGTTGTTGTATGTTGTTTCAGACCAAAAATTGCTGCCCGCAGTCGCGTTACACGGGTGGTCGTTTAATACAGGTAACTTACACAAAGACTCTATGGATAAACTATTCTGTGCCAGAAATTTTTACCCGTTTTGACAGGTGCCCGTCGAATGCAGGTGGTCGCCTAAGCAGTTTTCACTGTATATAAAATTACATGTCCTGATTGACTGACTGATTCATCATCGCCCAGAGCAAACTGCTGAACATAAAGAGGTGAAATTTGGTACACAGGGTACATCATGAAAATGCACACTAAGAAGGGATTTTTTGAAATTCCCCTGCAGACGGGAGAGAGAGAGAGGATTAAGGCTTAACCTGAAGAATGGTTTCCACTGTACTATTTTAGATGCGATTTTTTGTTTTTGATAGTAATAACTTAATTTTCAAATGTACAATCAAATCATCCAAATTGTTTGCCCAAGCAATACCGGGCTCATTTGCTAGTATTATTATGTCTTTACTACTATGAAAAGAACAAGCCCATGACTTTGTTCAAATTGTCTTTATTGCACTTCCCTTATGTAAGATGCTAGCCAAAAGACAAATGTTCCTTTATTAGCCATTTTTTATATCCCCCTACCCCAAGGCAATAGTGTTGCCAATACTTAACATTGTCATTACACATGTGATTCAATACTTCAGAAGTTGTCTTGCAATGTTGGGGATTAATTTGGATAAACCTTAGCATAATCTCCTTACTGGGACTACCAATATTATGATCAAGCTCCCTGTGAGTCATCAACAGCAGGCTTGCAGAAACTACCAGCTTTGAACTAGCTACAACAGGCCTACCATTCCAGAGGTAGCCAGCTGTAAGATTGCAGCAGCAGGCCTGGCACTAAACTCTAAAGTCACCAACTATAATCCATAAGTAGTAGGCCTACTACTAGACCATGGAGTCACAGACCGCAAGCCAGCACCAGCAGACCTTCTGCCTAGCTCTGAAGCTGCTGTCAAAAAGTTAGTGACAACCAAAGATCTCAGAATTCACCAGGTAACTAACTACCTGGTGAATTCTGAGATCCAGACCCCAACAACCAGACACTCACTTCTTGTAAGGTCACATTAAAGATCATTCAAGATACAATTTTCAGAACAAAATTGTATAGGCATGACCTTTAATGTGACTTTACAAGAAAAAATTCTAGAGATGTAATGTCAAATGATATTAAAAGCCTTCTTTAGATTAGAATATGCAGGGAATATTCAGTGATCA